AACAGATGGAGCCAGAAAACGTGCATGTAGCCCTGGCTGGTGTAGCCCAGTGGATTGAGTACGGGCCTGTGAACCAAAGGATCGCAGCTCGATTCCCAGTCAGGGCACATGCCTGGGTTGCAGGCCAGTTCCCAGCAGGGGGCCCACAAGAGGCAACCATACATTGATATTTCTCTCCCTCTCTTCTTCCCTTCCCCTCTAAAAATAAATAAAATCTTAAAGAAAAGAAAACACGCATGTATAAGTGTGAAAGCACACACACACGTACACGTACACTTCTCTGGCTACAAATAAGAGAACCACGGGTTCATGGAAGGACTGAGATCCGACCCGATCCCACAGGTCCCTCCTGGCCTCCCCGCCCTCCCCACCGACAGGAGCGCCCTTTCTGGCACCGACGACAGAGCAGAACCACCCTGCCTCTCGTTACCCACAACATAGGTATTCACCTGTCTGTCTGCGTGGCTCTGGAACTGCTAACCCTCACCGCTGGGACAGACACACCTACCAACCAGAGTTCAGTGTGTTTACAGTTCTTTTTTCTGAAGTCTGAGGACAGTCAAAACACTGCATGGCAGCCACGCAGGTTAGTTCCTTTTTTCCTGCCTCCAGGTACTAATGGTCCCATTTAAAACACAGCACCTAACAGATGTAAAAATGCAAACATGATCGAGGCTGACACGGGACCCGGGTCCCCATTCCCCGGAGGCAGGGGTCTCCCTCCGGCTACCTGGCCCTCAGAAATCTGGGGGCTTTACAGGCACGCGGCGATGCCGGCCACCCCGGGGCTTTCTCATTCATTCCGCCCGAGCTAGAGCCAGGAGTCGGTATTTTGCAGCTATCCTCAGAGTGACTCTGACGCCCCACCACTGGCTCTAAGACAAGACCCTAGAAACTCAGGGCCCCAAGAGTCTCCTTCCGCGGGAGCCCAGACGGTCCAGCCCCTCGGGGCCTCGGTCTCCGCACTGCTGCCCGTCTGCCCGGGCTGCTCCTCGGCCTGTGGCAGCCTCACCTCCCTTCACCGCCTGGCAAATGCCTAGCCTCTGACATCCAGCGCCCAGGTAGGCCTCCTCCTCCAGGAGGCCTTTCCAACTCCCAAACACGGCCGCACCCTGAGCCCCCCCAGGCCCCTCCCACAGGTCTGCTTCGATCACTATGGGGTAACTCGCACGCACTGAGACACAGGACACAGCACAGCAGCCTCTCCGTTGCCCTCCGTCCAGCTCCCCTCGCGGGGGCGGAGTTATTTGCTTGTCTTTCCCTCCGGCAGCAAGGCTCAGTCTCCCCGCTCAGAGGGCTCCCCGCGTGGGGTCCGGCACCAGCGGGCGCTCTGAAAGGAGGCTGCTCCACGGTTGTCTGCAGCGCCAGCCTGTGGCTCCGACGTGGCCGGAGCTCTCTGGGGCCAGGCATCGGAACCCAGACCGAGAAAGTCGAGGCTGCCAAGGATTCTCTGCCGAGCAACGCTCATCTTGAGACGAAGTTCCAGTTCTCCCTGAACCTGCCTGTCACTGCTCGTGCTGGTTACGTGAAGGCTGTTTCCATCCTGGACCTGGTATTTTTAGCGCTCCTGTTATGATAAACTCACACTAACCTCAAAAGGAACAAATCAAAGTCAACTTTTTGCCACAGGAAACCAGCTCATGCTTAATGTTTTGCAGCTTATCACGGGAGAATAATAAAAAGATGAGACCTTTCTGCTCACAGATGGCAAGGCCAACTCTCAAGATAGTGGAAAAATGCAACAGGAAGCGTGCAGTCTGGCCACTATCTTATAGTAAACTGGAAAAATACTCAGCGCCCAAACAAGGCCGGCACATGCGCACGGGCGGCTGCTTCCCCAGAGGCCGAACTGCGAGTGGGGAGGTAAGACGCACCTGCGTGGGAGGGGCCAGCTGGGACCAGCCCGGCTTCAGATCCCGCAGGGACAACTGGGGGCAGGCTGCTCTCCGTTTAGCCTGGAGCAGGTGACCAGACCAGCAACAGAGTCACTCATGCCTAAAATATGTATTTATCAAGCACCTACTACAGTCTCCGACGGGGCAATGAAGCCAGGGTCTCTGTGAGGCAGCCTCAGGTGTGCATCGCAGTCAATGCCCCGTCTTCGCTGGGAATTCTTAAGGCCCCATTAGGTGGATCGGTCATGGTCCTGGAAGGGTCTTGGGAATAAATTCCAAGGAATGGGAGGCCCTGGCCAGGTAGCTCAGTCGGTTAGAGCACTGTCCTAGAACACCAAGGTGGTGGGTTCAACCCCCCACCATGTAGTGGAACCCACCAATGAATGCACCAAGAGGCACACCAAGACCTGGGCAGAACTGAAACCAACTTAAGTGACGTGTAAGACGAGACTGGTTGCAGAACCGATGAATGACATCAAGTGAGAACTTAGTGCACACTTTTAAAATGGGTCAACTTTCTGGAATGAGTCATACCTCAATAAAGCTGTTAAAAGCATACAAATACAAAGATCTCACTGACTTTACATCGAGGAGAGATTTCAGACACAGGCTAAGTAGCGTAGTCCTTCCATTGTCACAGGTGAGGAGATAAGATCCTAGAGAGGCAAACCAGTGTTGGGCAGAGGGCGCCGTCCCGTGAGGGCGCCTGTGCTCTCCTGGGCAAGTCCAACAGGGTGGAATTGCAGGAGAACCTCACAGGTGTACAAACGGCGGAGCAGAAAACGGAAAGAACTTCTCTGACTGTAACAGCAAGGTGACGCATCCGCAGAGAGACACCTTAATGCTTACGGGCTGAGGGCTCTAGGCTGCCGGCGGTAACCAGGGAACGAGAGCATAAGAGCAGTTCCCTCTACTTCCAGAACCTTCGTGCAGCAGGCGGCTGAGAGAGTTATACAGGGAGGCACAGACAGAGAGACACCCACTGTTTTCGGAACGACTGCTGGTAGACCTGGGACGCTCAGCTTCCACCCCCCTAGCCATCGACAACCTGTGTCCTCTTACGCAAAACACGCAGCCTCTCTGGGTCTGTTCCCTTATCTCGAGAAACCAAACTGGGGACATTCTCATGGTGCTGACCTCATTCGGGGCTATAATGATGGTCTAGACAAGGAAACACTGTGAAAACGGTGGAGGGTTAGATCGGGGAGCCGCGACCTCGGCACTGCTGTTGCCAGGGGCCAGGAAACTCTTTCATGGGGAGCCGTCCTGGGCCTTGTGTCAAGGGACACAGAGCAACCGCCCTGCCCTCTCCCCACTAGATGCCAGCAGCACCTCGCCTCACCCACCCCCAACGGTGCCAACGAAATGTGTCTGCAGACGCTGCGCATGTACCTGGCAGGCACGCTGGCCCTGGCCGGGAATCTCCAGGTCACGGTAAACTCAAATACCAGCTGACCAATGAGATAAGCAGCAGTCCTGCCCAAAACCTTTGCAGACCACCCTGACAGGTAGGACTCGGTTGGTCAGGTGTTGTGCAGGAAAATGAAAGGTCACTGGATTAGCTTTCTGGTGAGGACACGTGCCTGGGTTGCGGGCTTGGTCCTAGTCGCAGTGGCAAGCTGATACCTATCTCTCTCTTTCTCCCACCCTTTTCCCCCACATCGCTGTTAAAAAAAACAAACAAAAAAACCCCACAGAAAACAAACAAACAAAACTTAGCAAACTAACAGCTATTATTTACTGAAGGCACTGAGCAATCAGCCTCTCCCAAGGGGTGAGGCCCACTGCTCTCTGAGTCCCAGAGAGGGGGCACTGCTGTGACCACAGCTGGCACTTCCGGGCTGAACTGTCCCAGTCCTTAATAGGGGCTTTTCTCTGGATTTTACACTCACAAGCAACAGACGCATTGCTTACTGCAGCCATTCCATTACTTCTACGCAAACAGGTATTAAGTGTTTCGAAATAGTTGCTTCCCCAACTCTCCTTGTTCCTAATCAGGTTAACGGCATTAATTAGTAGGGGAAGAGCTTTCTCATAAATAACGGAAAGGTAAACGTTAGCTGTGTCTGACTTTCTGACTACGACATTAAGGAGGTTTTACATGGTTCCACGCATCCCCTTCAGAGGCAGGAATGTGTGTGGACCAGCCTGCACAGCCTCATCCACCCGGACTTGGGGGGGGGGGGGTCGGTGCTCCTGGAGTCTGTCTGCGCAGACCAAGTGGGGGGGAGTGGGGGTGCAGCTCTCCTCTCAGCACTGGGGGGAGGAAGACCAAACACCGTCCAAAGGCAACTGGAGATGCGATACAGACAAGCTACATCTGCAACTCAGAGTCGCTCAGAGAAAGGGCCACGGCTCTGCAAAAACGCTGACGCCCATCAGCCTGGGAGCACACCTGGGGCCTGGGACAGGTGACCAGGGGGCTTCGGCATGAGGTGGGACGATGAGAAAGAAGTGGGGAGCTCAGTCCCCAAAGCACAAAAATGTCAAGGTGATTTTTTTTTCTAGTGGTTTCTACAATAAATGAGTTATTTTTACACTAATTAACTGATATTTTTACACTTACTTGCTGTGTAACTTGAAGCATATGAGAAACCTTCATCTCTCTGTGCATCAGTTTCTTTTTCTTTAAAAAAGGGGTAGTAATCGTATCTACGCCCAAGGGCTCGTACTAAGCACTCAATGTTAGTTATTAAAAGAACACTAAAGAAAACTTAAAGTGCCAGGCAGAAGAACAATGAGGAAAGAGCCAGACAATACTTTGCTAACAGTCCCCTGAGCACCAGCAAGGAGGGAAGGGGGGGGAACCACTCAGGCGAGGAGAGCTGCTTTCGCGGCCAAGGAGACCTCCAAAGAGGGAAAAGTGGTCTCAGAAGTTGATTTACGTCGTTATCGCAGGCTCAACTTTGGAGGGCTGTTCATTGCAACAAATAATAAACGAGTGCAAAACCCACTAAGAAACCAGAGCTCAATGACGGCCCTGGTCTCCATTCGCTCGGATGTGTGGCCGTGGAGAACCGGCTAACGAGGATCCGCCTGAAACGGACCCTGCAACCACGCTTGCGGAAACCAAAGCCCGGCACGCCGGGCGCCTCAAGCCCTCACCTTGGAGGAGAAAGTAATCCGGAGTCGTGCGCTTCAGAGCCGCCTTCGCTTTGTCGCTGCTCCAGTCCACTTCCAGCGCTTCTTTAACAGAGCAGAAGACCACCTTCTGTTGAAAAAAAAAACAAAGGCAAGACTGCTTAGGGACAAACTACATTGGCTTTAAACCACAAGGCAGCTCCTCACCATCCAGAAACGTCACTCTCTAAGGCCTGCTGTTCATCAGAAGAGGCGGAGGCGCAGGCGCAGTGGGCACTGAGCATGGATGGCGTACCCCCCCCCCCCCGGGTGATGAGCGACACGCTCCCCGCTGTGCGGGGACGCAGGGCAAAGCCGGAGCCCTGGCTCGCTCTTGGTAACTCTGGCTGTATTTACCCTGAAGAAATACTTGCACAAGCGAAGAAGTGTCTAAAAATAATAAGACTGTTTTTGTAACAGTAAACAAAAACTAACAAAAATTAATAAATGTCTCTCAGTAGAGGATGCTTTGCTACTGCCAATGGATGACAATAGGAACAGGAAACAGCAGCAGCAGCAGCAGCAGCAGCAACAAGGGGGGGTGAAAGGGCAGCGCCGGGCTATGGAAATGGCAATGGCATTTGCAAAAGCCCTGAAGTAGGAGGAAGTGTGGTTAAAACCTATGAAATCAAATCAAATAATCTTAGAAAACACCATAGCATGTATTTTAAGACACAATTAAATATGAATGAGAAAACGGTGTTCCTTTCCCCTTCCTGAACAAGGCAATCCAAAAGCCAGGTGCTGGGACTGAGGAAGGGCAGGGAAGAGAGCGTGTGCGGAGCCCAGGTCGGGCGCTCAGGGGTTGGCGTGCGTCCCACACACGGAAAGGCAGGATTTGGGCTCCAGGCCAGGGCACACCCCGAGGCTGCAGGTTCGATCCCTGGTCAGGGTGCATACGGGAGGCGACCCGAACGATGTTTCCTTCTCGCATCGATGTCTGTCTGCCCACTCCTTTCCCCTCTCTCTCAAAGTGAAAACATTCTTAGGTGAGGATTTAAAAAGTAATGAAAGCAACAATAATCTAAAAGCAATGACCACACCACCAACGCCCAGACCTTGGTTTCCAAGCACCATGCCAGTGTCTCTGAACATTTCCCCCTGGAGAAACAGCGGATTCAAACCTCAGGCACGAGAGCGCGGGAGACTCCGGAGCGCCACCTGAGCCCGACACAACGACACAAGTCAGCGCTCGGAGAACCATGGGGACCCCAAAAGGGAAACAGGAGCCCACTCAAAGGAGCACGCACTAGAACAATTTGAGGATAAAGAGAAACAATAGCAAATTACACCACTTTAAATACGCTAGAATCCATCAGTCCACAAACCTAAAATTTATAATAAAGTTTAATGAGGAATGGGATGTTTACGTCTTCAAAACACTTCCGCACAAAGCGCACTGGTCACACGAAGCAGAGGAACTGTGTTCCGAGAGGCTGGGCGGACAGACCCTCCCTCCGCACGAGGGAAGCAGCGCGAGCAGTAGGGGCAGCACGTGGGACCCATGCACCAAACCGCGGGCTCTGATGAGAACCATCCACACGGCAGCATGTTTGCCAAAATGTGTCGCTGGACTCTCATCGTGAGGCAACATGGGATGAAAATCCAGATTCACATGACCCTGAGCTGGGTCCTTCTGCCACATGGATGTGACTGGAGCCCCTGGCAACGCCTGCACGGGGTCTGAGAACTGCACGGCGGCGCGGCCACCTAACCGGCGAGTCTGCTGCCTCTGACGGCGGGGCTGCGGGGGAGGAGGCCCTGTCTGAGAAAAACGGCCTGAAACACGGGGGAGTGATGGGGCACCGTGCTGGCGCTGTGCTCGGATGGTTCAGAAAAAATACAGCTCTCGGTACTAGCTGCTTTTACTGAGTTTAAGATGGGTGTGAGCGCAGAAATAACTCAAAACTTACAGAGGCACGTGTCTCCTCTCTTCTGTCTCTGCACACACCACACGAACTCCGACCTCAGGTGTGTAAGACGGAGACGGAGACACTGAACACAAGTGTGCCCTTCCGGAGGCTCGGTAAACCCAGACCCGTCAGCCCCCAGGCAGCTCCCACAGCCAGCCAAGGACCAAATGGGTTTTAGGGATGGAAGTTCGAACTGCCAGTGAAGGCACAGGGCGATGGTTGCCGCTTGGAAGGCGGCTTCTGCACCCCCAGCGTCAGTCCTTTCGGGGTGGCATGTGAGATGTCCGTACCACCCTCAGACCTCTGGTCAGTGGGTCTGCTGACCTCGGAAGATAAGTCATGGTGTCGAAAGACAGACTGCCCGCCCTTCCTCAGCACGTCTTAGGCGCAGATCAGCCTGGGAAGACCACCACGAGGAGGCTACGGACTTGCATCCTGCTTGAAAAACGACCAAGACCTTAACCCAGAGTTCTGGAGGACTGCCCGACTGAAAGCAACGCTGAGAATCCATGGGTTCGTCAGACCCCGCTATCTGACGATGAATGGAGGGAGGTGTGTGTGTCTTATTCTCAGTCCCAAGCAGGCCGGCCTCTAACACTTCCAGGGCCTGCGCAAGGGTACAAATGGAAACCCATGCATCAGGCCCACATGTTCGGCTATATTGCAAATCATACTAAACAAGCTGTTAAATAAAGGATATACTTGTCCTTCCTCCATAGCCACTTAGAAGATCAGCGCCAAATGCAGAATTCTCCCACTCCGCGGAGCTCTGCGCCAAAGCGAGGCGCACGGGGAGGCTGCTCTGCCCTCTGCCCTTCTCTTTCAGCTCCGACCTACAAACTGACCGTGGCCCCCAGACCCCACGGTGAGGCCTGCACTCCAGAGACAGGTTGGGGAAGAAGTCCAGAAAGCCTGGGAGGTAGGATTCCAGTGTCCCAGGCACCCAGCACAAGGTCTGCACCGGGGGAAGGCTCTGCACCCCAGGCGGACACACCTTGACCCTACGAGGGAAATGGCTGGAAGGAGGACAGTGGGACCTTCTAGAGCACCAGGGCCGAGGGCAGAGGCCCTTTTTCCTCCCCAAGTCTAAGGGCAGAACAATTCCCAGTTGGGTCACTTATTGTGACCCTAGGCAAATGAATATATGCTCAGGCCTGACTGTGGCAGATGATTTTTAGGGACACTCCTTGGGTGTGTGGGGCAGAGGCCCACAGCGGCTCTGTCTGTGCTGGGGACTAGCCCTCCAGCCACAGGTGACGTGCTGGGGAGAGCGCTGGCCCAAGCCTGACCAATCAGATTCTTCCTTTCTCCTGGGAATTGAGAATTGAAAGCTGGAAATAGACCCTTATTAAGGGCAGAGCTCTAAAGACAAAGGCCAAATTCCTACCGCCTCGGAGGCCCCAGCTGCCCGGTTTTCACCCCTCTCAAATCACAGTGCTTCTTTATCTTGTGCTGCTCCGGCCTGCCTCCAGTCAATGTCCCCTTTTTTGTTTTCCAATGGCCCCAAGTCTACTGTCACTGACCACAACAATTAGAAACAAAACAAAACGTACCCAAGCTGCCTAGTTTGTGGTAAGACACATGCAAACGGCGGTGCCTGCCTTACCCCGCTCACCAGCACTGGGTTTACAGAGAAAACTCACCTGAGGGCCCTCTCGGGGAGGAAGGGTCTTTCCAGGGAGGTCCCCGGGAGAGCACCACCCATCTCTACCCAAAGAGCACGCCAGACCGGGCAACTCGCCCCTCACTCCCTGGCCCCCGCCCCTCCGTGCCCTCGGCTCCAGGACCCCCCCGACTAGAATGCCTGAGGCACTCCCCTCCTTCCCAGAGAACCTGAGCCTTAAGGCTTTCGATCCGAGGGTCCAGTTAAGACTAGTAACAAGCACCTCACAGCCCTCAGAGGTTTCCCGAGGCAGGGCCCACAAGGAAAGGCGGAACAGGGAGCAGGCTACACTGTTCTGCAAAACCCGGGAGCTGCCTCTCACCTGAGAAAAGCCCAACAGTGCCTATAAACAATGAATTCTTGCCCTGGCTGGTGTAGCTCAGTGGATTGAGTGCGGGCCTGCAAACCAAATGATCGCAGTTTGATTCCCAGTCAGGGCACATGCCTGGGTTGCAGGCCAGTTCCCAGAAGGGGACACATGAGAGGCAACTGTACATTGATGTTTCTCTCCCACTCTCCTTCCCTCCCCCTCTAAAGATAAATAAATAAAATCTTAAAAAAAGAAAAAGATGAATTCTCCACCCGGCCTACCAGCCATCAGATGGGGGGGGGGGGCTGTGCCAGGCCATTTACAAGAGTGGGAGATGTCAGTGACCTTGTCAACACAACGGGAGCCGGTTCGCTAGACCACAGCGGGGAGACGCAAGCCAGGCTCCCCGCCAGCGCGCACAGGGCCGGGAGCGCTTCTGAAAACAGAGTAACAAAGTCCAAACACAACAGGTGTCGTATGTGTCAGGTGCTTACATGTCTCACACGTACTCATCAGCACCCCAACTTTATTACGTACACTACTGTACGCCTGCTGGAAGGAATACTGAAAAGTCACTATGGGGGGCGGGTTCACGTTCATTCAACTTGCTCTGTGTTTCCCACACCTGGGACTGTCAAGAGAGTTGACTTTTTAAATTAGGCTGAACATCTGTAACACGTGACGGGGTTTGGGATGTAAATCGGAATCGAAACAACGTGCAAAACGACAGCTTTCCAGGCCCAACCTCCACACCTTCTCCTGGGAGGCCGGCGTCTTGAAAGCGCAACCAGAGACAGTCTCACCCTCGGCCAAGTGGCCCCAGGGCCCCAGGTCAGCACACGCGACTGTCACATGGGGCTGGCTCTGGTATGTCTGTGGATAAAACTGCGCGGTGGGACTGCGTGGGCAGGGCCTGGTAAAGGTGAGAGGCGCACATCCCGTTTTCGTCCTGCATTATCTCCCCTGGAGAAACCACGCAGCTGCCCGCGGAGGTCAGTGACACACGCACGGAGCACCGACTGCAGCACAACTCAGCTGTAACAGCAAACACACACCTACATGGCCGTCAATAGCCCGGTGGCGATGCGGTCGCACAACACACACTCTGCAGTCAGAGAAAAGGGAAGAAAGGAAAAGAACTTCCGAGGGCTGTCCGAGAGGACTCACAAACACCCCGCTGGTCAAACACCCCCCGCCCTTGCAGCACAAATGCAACAGCCACCCGTGGTTACCGAGCACGTGGACTGTGGTCAGAGATGCTGGAGAAGCGACTTTTCTATTTTATCTAATCTTGATTAATTTTAATAGTCACCTGTGGCTAGTGGCTACCAATACAGACAGCGAAGCCCGAGAACTACAGAGATATATAACACTGCTCTTAAAAAGCAGGTGGTGGCACTCACACGCTAAGAAACCAATTTTTTTAAAAAAGATTTTATTTATTTATTTTACAGAGTTGGGGAAGGAAGGGAGAAAGAGGAGTGAAACATCAGTGTGTGGTTGCCTCTAGCACGCCCCCTACTGGGGACCTGGCCTGCAACCCAGGCATGTGCCCTGACTGGGAATGGAACCAGCAACCCTTTGGTTTGCAGGCCTGCACTCAGTCCACTGAGCTACACCAGCCAGGGCAGAAACCAATTTTTAAGAAGTTAAAAATGCCCTGGCCGGGCAGCTCAGTTGGTTGGAGCATCATCCTGATATGCCAAGGTTGCAGGTTTGATCCCCAGTCAGGGCACAAGCAAGAATCAACCAGTAAGTGCATATGTAAGTAGAACAACAAATTGATGTCTCTCTCTCTCTCACTCTCTTCCCCCCGCTCTTAAAAAAAAAAAAAGATTAAAAAGCACACCAAACAATTCCATGCTGCTGGGACACACACACATAAGAAAAAATGCACAGGAATGAAAACTGCAATGAAGGACAAAGGCTACTTATGACGGGGACGGATTCCAGGGCTGGACCCGACCACACTGGTGATACTTCATGCTCTACACTAGGTGATGGGTACGGGCCCGGCTATATCCTTCCTACTTTACACCTACGATACCACGCAGTAAATTCTACAAACGCACAATAAAACGCCGGGCCAAGCAGGGCTCTATCTGCTCCCCTCAGGTACCTTGTGAAGCCCACACGATGTACCGGCACCCAAGGGAGAGGAGGGAGGCGCAGCATGCAGCCCAGCACCGCAGCACTGGAGAGATTCTGGGCGTTAAGTTCAATGCTGTGTTACTGTCACGTTCTGAAACTTGTGGCACCATTGTTTACATCGAGTATTACACACACACACACACACACACACACACACACACACGGAGACTGGATTGTGCTGTAAAGCTGGTTAGGACCCCCCCATCCCTGATCCCGAGGGCCCAGAAACTTTCCCCGGTGCGACAGGCGCCATCAGACTCTGCCACCGTCGGCACAGCACCAAACCCTCTGCAGGCACACCCTGCGCTACCCTGCACCCCTCCCCCAGACCAAGAGATTCTGACAATTAGCAGCGTTTGGGCCTCAGGATCTGGTCGAGGCAACTGGATAACTTACTTCTAGACATTCCCGGCCAAGTGCCCTGTCCTGTTTGCAAATCTGTTCTCGGTTTAGCTCAAAACCCTAAACTGTGAGGACTAATGTGCTACAAAGCTAGTCCAGCTTAGTTGATCACAAAAGAAAGTTAACTCAAGAATTCTGTTTAAAACTCCAGTAATCTGTATAACAGACAGCCGAGACTACCCTGCACACGCATTTCCTGGATGTGAGAGCACCAGGCGCTGCCTGGCAGAGGGAGCGGCCCTGTATGTACGGGGCTTAAACCCCACGGGAGAGACACTGACGAGTGACCCGGACAGCAGTCAGCCTCGAGAGGCAAGATGCCACCAGAGATGAGGAAAGAAACTCGCCAGTCACCAGGAATGTCTCTTTAAGGATGCGGGTGAGGGGAGGAGGACGGAGCTGTCAACAAACCGCCCCGACAGGGGGATCAAAATAATGAATCACTACCCCCCTGTGGAATTTTACACCTAATTCATGAGCAGAGTATTAACAGTGCCCAAATTAGTCACCTACTATTTTCAGAAGCAGAGGTAAAATTAAATCTGTATTTCTTAGCACGTCAGGAACAAATCCTACTTTACGTTTCCTTTTAAAAGTGCTAGTAGGACGAGTAACACCATCGGGCAGCTACTCGTGCCGGGCGGCCCCTAACAATGAAGGAACGCGAGCAGCAGAAGGGACTGTGAGAACGGCCTTTCCTCCCCAAGGTTTTCCAGGAAGGAGCTCCATCTTTACACGCTGTATAAAACGCCAAAACCCCCTGGAAACTCCCAGGGGACCCGCCGTGTAAATCACACGGTGAGCCAGTGACCGTGACTCAGCCTGAGCTCTCCCACCTGCTGGCCGCTGACCCTCTCCCAGCTCCAGCACCGGCTGCAGATGGGGACGACAGGGCTGGACATGACCCCCTGCACCCTGCACTGTGAACTTGCCCTGCACACGGTGGTTTTTTTTATTCATTGATTTCAGACAGAAACATCGATGTGCTGCTCTGCTTACGTATGCACTCACTGGTTGACTCTTGTACGTGCCCTGACTGAGGACGGAACCTGCAGCCCTGGCCTACCAGGATAATGCTCTAACCAACTGAGCTACCAGGCCAGAGCCACACGGCAGGCGTTTTGCAACTCACAGAAAGAGAAAGAGATGGCTGTCTCGAGTGAGGAAAGCCAGAGTCACTTTGTCCTAGGTCTGTGCTTTTGTGGATCCGGCTTCCTGTCACCGAACGCTGGTCCCGGCCTCGGGGTGGCAAACCTGAGTCTCCACACCAACTCCAACAGCTCTCTCTCCTCTCTCTGGGAAACTTCCCGAACACGATGCACTGCGCATCACTGTCCACGGAGGTTTGTGCCCGAGACCTGGTTCCCATGAAACCTGTTACTCGACTTCTTGGGGGCACCAAACGCAGCACGCGACCTCTGAGCACCCACCCAGCCCTATCTGCCCCGATGGCGCGCATGCTACAAAGGCCTAGAAAGGCCCCGTGTCTTCCTCGATGGTGTGAAAACCACAATCTCTGTTTTCCCTCTTTGTTTTTTAACGTTTCTAATTTAGGAGCACAATGCGTACCTTGAAGCAAAAGGGGCTTTACCACAGTTGGAACCTGACCAGAAACCTTTCACAGGAAACAGGAAGTGGCTGCTCCCCCACCCCAGGCTGCACCCCGACCATAACCCAACCAGTTGTTCCAGCCCATTTAGGCAAAAGGGCAGACTCTGAATCAAGGAACTTTTGAGCTGAAAGAAAACTTCCACACAACAGGGCGGTCTCTGCCCAAATGGAGAAGCCTCGTCGTGACGAGGGGACGGCCGGGACCGGGCGGCCCAGGCCTTCCCCGGGGCCCCTGGGGAGGCCGCACAAAGGCAAGGCTGGAATCCCGGGGATCGGCACCAGGAATGCACCGAATGCCTCGCAACCTCAAGGGCTCGGGTTGGAATCTGGGCCTGAATTGTCCGAGGGAAACAGCTGACTAACAATGTCAGCTGGGGCGTATTTTGATACCTTCCACTTCCACCCCACGTAGGACGGGGCCACACGAAGCACTCGGTGACCGAGGAGCCCGGGGATGGCAGGCGAGTGCCTGCCCGCGCCGCCCGCGCCGCCCGCATTCCCCTCATAGCGACGGACAGTGGCTCCGGAAGGGGAGACTGGTGTCCGGAGCGGCCTCAGCGGGCACCTCCAGAACCCACTCCCAGGACACTTCCAGCGGTGCCGGTGGACAAAGCCAGGCACTCTCCATTTGAATGGGAAAGGCCCGCCTCCACCCGGGAAGCCCTGAAGCCATAAAACCCTTCACACCAAGGCCAAGTGTCACGCTTGTAAGAGGGTGTGATTTATAAATTGACAGCACCCACAAAGCTGCTTTTGTCCTCCTACATTAGTTAACAATTCATCCCCCAGCCCCAAACTCGGGAACTATTCAGATAAGGCCCGACTGGGCCTCCGAAAGAAAGGAAGAAAGAAAAAGACCCAAGTTTCGGCCCAAACACCAACACAGGATAATTATGGTCCTGTGAATAGACACTAAAATTAGGGCTTAATAATTCCTCTGTCTCACCCTCACGGCATCGAACTACTCCAGCACAAACATAAAAGGCAAGAGAAAGAAAACCCACAGCGGCCCTGCTGGAAGCTGGAGGAGTCCCGCTTTACTCTTGGAACCAACGCCCCCCAGCCCTCGGAGCGGTCCTGAGTCCGAGCTCTGGCCAGCTGGTTTTCTTTCTCGACATTTAAACCTACGCAGCAAAGAGGACATCTCTCTCCTCTCAGTTCCACAAAACCAAGTCCGACCGCTCCACCTCGGCTTCCCCGTCGACAGGTTCCTTTTCGGATTTTATTACCACCGTCTCTCCTTCCCTTCCAACTCCCGCTCCTCCTTCTAGAAAATGACTTTGAATTACTGCACCAATTCCAAGTACAGCCTCAGTGTCCATTAACAAATACACACCTGCCCTGGCTGGTATAGCTCAACGGATTGAGTGTGGGTCTGTGAAGCAATGGGTTGCTGGTTCCATTCCCAGTCAGGGCACATGCCTGACTGCAGGCCAGATCCCCGGTAGGGGGCGCACAAGAGGCAAGCACACATTGATGCTCCCCCTCCCCTTTTTCCCTTCCCATCTAAAAATAAATAAAATCTTAAAAAAAAAAATTGGGGACAGGGCATATCCTCCCTCAACAAACCCTACATTTCTGAATCTCTTTAAAGAAGTCACATCCGGTGCCCTTGGCCCACCTGTTCCCCACAGCTCACAGGCTGGCTCTGCACAGCAGCTGCCCCCTGTAAGTGGGACAAGCCCCAGCCCAGCATGTCCAGACCCTCCTTTCAAGCCCACCATGCTGGCTTCCCTCATCTGCCACTGTCACTGCCTGTCCCCACACGGCCAGGGCTTTCTGAGCCCCACCCCGCCCCCAAGCGCCCGTGTGTGTACACACACACACAGAGCAGACATACCTTTTTGACCATAGTTGTCTCGGAGGAATCCAGTCTTGCTCTCTTGGTATCAGGTCCATCTTCTACCCCTTGGCTAACTTTGGAAACTTTGGTTTTCTCCCTAGAGGGCGACAGGGAAGGAACCCAGTTCTACCCTAGGAATCACGTGATGAGAACAAAGAGAGCGTTACCACCTCACAGAGTAGGATGCTGGTTTCAGGGCAAAAGCTTTGGAGTCATACAGACCCAGGTTCAAACCCCAGCCTGGCCACCCATCACCTGCCGAGCCAGGCACCCAGCCCGTGGGAGTGACGGCCGCTAACAGGAGGTGGTTGTGAGGAGAGAAATAACGCACACTGCACAGAGTGCTGCCTCGTGAGTTCTAGCAGACTCTGAATGTTCCACCTGAATCACGAGAAGCGGAACTGAATTCTTCCCCTCTGCCACGGGGAGCTCACGTTAAATTAATCTGGACTGCTTTCCTCTATGACTTCTTCATCCACTTAGAATGTGCCCAAAGAGCTAGATTTTTGTAAAGCCATAAAATATTGAGGTTACAAGCTCTGGGTGGTGTGGCTCAGTGGACTGAGTGCCCACCTGCAAACTAAAGGACTGTTGGTTCAATTCCCAGTCAGGGCACATGCCTGGGTTGCAGGCCAGGTCTCCAGTAGGGGGCACATGAGAGGCAACCACACGCTGATGTTTTTTCTCTCTCTTTCTCCCTCCCTGCCTTCCCCTCTCTCAAAAGTAAATAAATAAAATCTAAAGAAAAAAAAACAACCCAAAACACTGAGGTTATAAAGTTCTGAACATATCTGTCCTTCCCCCAAGTCAATTTCACAGGCAAGAAACTTGCAGACCAGAGAAGCTGCGGTGACCTGCACAAGCTGAACTACAGAAAGCTGTTCTTGCCTCTGGGTGGGAGGCTTCGCCTGCCACGCAGCGGGGTCTCCACCTCTCGCGGTGGTGGTGGGGGGCAGCAGTTAGAAAATCCCAGGCAAAGAACCAGCTCGTGCAGTTTCACAGTAACGTGCCATCTCATCGAGAAGCTCCAAGTTCAAAGCACCGCAGGCCCCATCACGTGAGCATCACCAGGGTCTGCAACCGCAGCACTCAAAACGAGGACGCGGTCTGCGTGCCACACGGGGCAGTCTCTGGGCTGTGGTAGACAGTGGCCAAGTGTGCCACCCAAGCAGCCCACCTAGCTACCCTGTGCTCAGTCGCTATCTCTCGGCCGAACGAGCATGCGCGCCGAGGCTGGGCCACGGAGGCTGCCCGGCCCAGGCAGGCCGCCCCTGCAGAGCACCAGCCCCTCACTCCTGGAAATCCAAACCGGATGACGTCCCTCGACCGCCGAGGACTCTGCTTTCTTTATGCTTCCAAGTAGACCAGGGCAGAAGCCCCATCTCCTACGATTCTGAACACAAAATCCACACATCACACACTCTTAGCTGATTTCCCAATGTTCTAAGTCTTACGATAAAAGACTTTCCTCAAACGGCTAGTTTCCCATCAGGGAAGAAAACTACATCTTGAGAACGTAACATTCTCTTTTCCTCCGCCAACACTTACTCTACAAATTCGTGCTCTCCGAGATTGGCAAAGGTGTATCCGTGGTAGCCAAAAACATCGCCTGTGAAGAACTTGATGCTGTTTTTGTGGCAGATCTGGTCGACCTTAACTATGACGTCCCTGGAGCAGCGCGTCAGGCAGACCTGCGGGAAGGAGGACAAGGGCTGGGCGTGAGTTCTGCAAACTGCGAATCCCGGCCCCAATGTCTACAGAAATCTGAATGCGCAGCCTCGCCGGGCACAGGTGCATCCACAGCCAATTCCAAACTGGTCCAGCGGGTTCCCGGGGCCCTACGGTTAGAGACGAAAGAGAAGGTGCAGGCTGGGTGGATAGAAAACGTAAATTAGGAGACCATCACTTGCTGTAGCCCAAACGAAACGTGTGTAGCTAGAAAGTAAAAGCCATTCGATGAGTTTGTTTCCCAATCCCCGAATATATGTAAACCACATTTCATAGTTCTCACAAAAAGAAAAGACAGTAATAACTTAGTGTGAGTTATTTCTAACAAGCAAGAAGAAAAACCAGTTTTAAAAATTGACCCATAGGTCACGTTTAAATACAAGGGCATTCACCCCCCCCTTCTTTCGACTGATATGTTAAGGTAAAAAAGATAAACAAGTCCTGTTGAGATTATTTTTCCACAGTTTTCCATGTGAAATTTTATCTGAATTGAGGGACAAAGGGAAAGGTTATGGACCGAGTGACCTTCCATTCGGACCTCAGACAATGAGCCATGGTTCACGCCGTGGGATCATCGATGCTGCTCCGAAGCCCGAGGTTCTGCTCCAGTAAGTGGGGAGCCTGGCAATGGCTAAACTTCGCCGCACAAAACACCCTCTTTCCGGGAGGAGCTTTGTGATCAGAGCCCAGAAAGGACTCCTACCATGTGCATTTCCCATGCGAACACACCAAGTTGGAGAAGAAATTACAAAAGGATTTATTTCCACGTGACGGGCCCTCTCTGGCAGCCCGAGCACTGGAATACACTCGAAGAGCAGTGCGTGCCTCTGGTGGCATTCAGAGGACACAGCCTCCCGCAGAGAAATCAAAAGAAGGTGTGACAGCCACCGGGGAACACGCCACCACTGCGCAGTGGAAGCCTGCAGGGCTGCAGGCGACCAGTCCCACATGAGACGGTCCCACATGCCCCGTGCACGTGCCTTATACAAGCAACTGGCCCCACGCCTTGGCGCTAACGGAGCTTCTAATTGCTAGAAGTTCCAGGGACACCTAAACTATATCAAATGTGGTTTCTGTGGATTAAAAAAAATGAAGAGAAGACTTTCTTCCACATGGAAAATGTCCCAATAGCTGGAGTTACGAAGCAAAGTGAATTAAAGAGAGAAAAGGACAAAGCGCACAGACGAGCCGTCATCTCGAGCCCGTATCCGAACAGATGCAAGTGTGAAATCTAACAGTGTGGGGAAAACAAGCCACCAGCCCAGCTCCTAACCTCTCGCGTGCCCGGCCTCTCATCTAAAAACAAGGAGATGGATCATCTGTGATGTTTCACAGCTCCCCGAGCTCACTCCAGGGTACGGGACCCACGTCAGAAAGGCCACAGACACCGGAACGGAACTTAACCTATCCTTTCACCTCTGCAGAGATCTGGCAGTGATGCCGAATGGGTTGGCTATGCCTCATTTGGCTTATGACGACAGCGATTCTGCCGCGTTATCCATGGCAACGCGGTCGGAGTGGCTGTGTGAAAGAGACAGACCAAGATCAGGTGTGTTCTTTTCTAAAGACAAAACACAAGCTGTAGTTTGGTATTTCTAGCAAAAAAAAAAAAAAATTGACTGTGCTACAGAAATTAATCACCAACTTGTTAAGTTTTCGGGAGAAAACATTTGCAATTAAATGCACCAAAGCTCCGTGCACAGAGTCTGGAAGGAAGACAACACAGCCCGGAGGAGGCCTGGTCCACGGGACCCCTTCCCGCGCACCCCACCTGCTGCGGAGGCTGCGTGCTAGGCCTGCAGGACGGTCTAGCTTCTAAACATACTTGGGAAAAAAAGTGCAGAATTCAAGACTCTGATGTTCCAGTTTACCTAGAACACATGCAATTAGTGCTTTAATTTGCTGCATCCCCCCAGATCGGACACTCTTTGTGACACTTACGGCGTCAAACTGAGTGAAGAAGGACTCCGGTTTCTTTTCTATGTTCTCAGTGTCCACCTTCACGTCCACCATGGGGTTGAGATTCTGGGCTCGCTCCAAAGAGGCTTCGGCCCTGTTTCGGCCGACAGACCCAGTTCGGATCAGGAACTGGGCTCCAGGGTCTTCTGGAGAAACCTGCAGAGAATTTAAAAAAAAAAAAAAATACTTGAATATGGGGGAAAACATATCTCCAAGACAACGTGCCTTTCTATTTTAAAGGATAATTAAAATACCCAGCATTTACCGCAACACCGTTCCTGCAGGAATCTGCCTACTGCAGACTCCCGACACCCTGTCCCCCTCTGAGGCTTTAAAGCGAGATGTGGAGCTTTTACTGGGCATTGATGGTTAAAGGGCGCCCCCTTGTGTTTATAAAGAAAACTTACCCTGAAAAGAAACACCCATGCTTCTACTTCAGTTTGTAACAGCTAACAAAACAACCCAACTATCAGGGCAGGAATTCACCAAACACTTACCATGTGCCTAACTCTGAGCACTCAAATGTAAGTAGTTTAAAGGATGTAGTCCCTGCCTACAGGGGTTTAAAATCAGAGCAGGGCAAAAATCAAATACAATTAAGAATGTTTGAAATAACAAGTTCAACTGGAGATCAGAGGAAAGATGAATGGGGGCTGGAGCAGAGATGATTCCACCCATAAGGCTGGATGACATAATCACGAGACTCCATACTGCCTCACACAAAGCCTTTCTCCCCACTCCGAACACCTGATTTAACCATTGTTCACCGTCCCCAAGACTGGGTTGGCCAAGAGTAACCTCCCCTCCTCCTGCCAAGCAACCACAGCACTAACTACCTTCCTGCCTTTCCTCCAAGAAGATGCGCTGGTCCCTCTCCCATTCAAGGCCAACCTTCTGACAGGATCCTTGACCCCTCCCATCCCACTTCTTCAGGGATCTCATTATATTCCGAGAAGCTGAACACCCTGGTGATTGAGGGCAAGGCTCTGAAATAATTCAGGCAGGATTCAAATCTCTGATTCAGATGCTGGCTCAGCCACTTACGGTGTAACCCTGAGTGTGTACGGAGGAACCACGTGTAAAATGCAGGTGTTAATAAAAGCAACACACTCGCTAATCACTCCATCAGTGTTCGCTGCCGCCATCGGAGCTCCGGCTCTCCTCCTCCCTGGCTGGGCAGCGCAGCCTCTGCGGGCCCTCGGAGGGCGGCTGTCCCCGACTTCTGCCGCAGTCACGCACCTTCTCACTCTGCACAGTACCGCACACACCAACCGATGCCTCTCTTAGTTTCTCCCAGAATTTTCTGGTGTTCCTCAAATCGCTCTTTTAACTTTTTTTTAAGGTTTTATTTATTTTTAGACAGAGGAGAAAGGAGGGAGAAAGAGAGGGAAACATCGATGTGTGGTTGCCTCTCATGCACCCCTCACTGGGTACTTAGCCCGAGACCAGGCATGTGCCCTGACCGGGAATCAAACTGGTGATATTTTGGTTAGCACATTTGTGCTTAATCCACTGAGCCACACCAGGCAGGGTTCAAATCGCTCTTAACGGTACAGATTTCTTCCTGCTCCGAGTCCTGTATTAAACTAACTGCCCACCAGATACCTCCTCCCAGATATCTCACGGGCCCTTCATTATCTGACTCCTGTATGTGTCCTCTTTGCTGATGAGCCCGTCAACTACGCATCCAGCCCCCCAAACCAGAAACTTGGTCTTCGCACCCTTGCTATATCCTCAGTAGAAGCCATCTGCTACTGTGGCTCAGCATGGGCTGCCTGGGTCATGGTCTCCCACTGACAGCTGTGACCTTGAGTGGGCCGGTACCTCACTTCCTTACCCTCAGTTCCCTCATCTGTACAGCAGGGATGAAGATCCCTGCATCTCGGAGCTGCTGTGAGGACTAGATGAGGCACCGGAGCCACGGCTCTTGCAACAGTGCCCAGCACCTCCCGTAACTGTCCACTGCCGTGAGCTACTCCCTGCTTTCCTCTCGTGCCTGCTGACGACCCTACCGGTTCTGCCACCGGAGAGTTTCTCACCACGCGTGCTTCCTGCACCATCACCGGTACCGGTGCTTGTATCCTGGCCATCTCTCACCAAAACTACTAAAGCAGCCTTCTAAGTGGTCTCGTGTCAACCAAGGCTGACACAGCCATTAGTGATAAGTGGAAGCGAGTAGCAGGGCTCGCTAGCGCACGCTTCGTGACTTGGACCCTAGTGACATCCTGCTCCCACAATGTTGGTTTCACACTCTGAACATTCCAAACTGCTCGCTATGTTTTACTTCTCCCCTGTGGCTTCAAGCCACTGCCAGGTCCCCGCCTGGAATACAGCCCTCGATACACCTCCACCTGTTGACTACTCGGCTCGGTTCGGAACTGCAGGAGACCTTCATGCCCCCTCCCGCAGCCCGAGTCAGGGAGCCCAGCCTGGTTCCCAGAGGAATCGTGACAACGGGAACCCAGTGCCGTGCATCTTTCTTTGTGCCGTGCATCTTTCTTTGTACAGCCGATCCCTGGAGCGCTTCTGGGTAAGAGAAGGTGTGTTGGATGCCAGTCAAGATGGCAAAATGAAAATCTCTTAAGGGGCCGGGAACAAGGCCCTCGTTTTACAACGAGCAAACCGAGTCTCTGAGAGGCTGGGTCCTTTGCCCAGCTTGAGGAGGGGGCATCTGAACCCCAGTCTGCATGATCTGAACCTTTTTGCACTACGCAGCACCGTCTCCCTGGCATGTTCCTAGACTGGGGGAAGAAAAGCGCACGCAAACCAACCACACGGTGTTCGTGAACTATTACATGTATGGGATGGGGGTCAGGCTGGGTAAGCCGGCAGGGACCAGGATGGATGAAGCCACTGGTTCCCAACTCTCCCCGTCAGCCTCACCTGAAGATCTCCTACTTTTAAATCCCTCCCACATCTTCTAAAGCACTGATGGGACGGAGAACTCGGTGTTCAGCCTTGCGATCCAGTCAGAGCGGCCAGGCCTTGCAGTGGAAGGCGGGCGGGAGGCACTGTACGTCCTCCAAGGGAACAGGTAAGGGATGCCAGTCAGCCCGTTCGCGCCCACACTGCATGGCCTCCATTGCCTCACCGAGGCGGCGACAGGACCGTGTCGCACGCCCCTCGGTGTTGCACTGCCGTTCCCCTTTTCCACACCAAGCGCCTCCAAGTTTAGGAACCGTCTTTCCTCGAGGCTCCTCCACTCTCGCCCTCTGCACCACAAAGGCTTCCCGTAGATGGGCCGCTCCTGCCTCTAGGGGGCACTGTGCTCGGGCCGAGGTCCGCCCAGACTGCCGATGACCCAGCATCTTCGCCTGCAGGAATTTTCTTGCCTCAGGTTTTACATCACGTCAAAAATCAATATACGACTGTGACATTAAATGAACCAATCCATGTTTCCTTTCATACTGCAGTAAACTTTTTGAAAATTAATGATTCCAGATATTTTTCTTCTGAAACCCAGAACAAGGTGTATTTTTAAAAACTGCATTAACAGCCCCGTCTGGTGTGGCTCAGTGGACTGAGTGCTGGCCAGTGACTTAAGGTCACCGGTTCAATTCCCGGTCAGGGCACATGCCTGGGTTGCAGGCCAAATCCCCAGTGGGGGGTGTACTATTTGTCGTCCTCTCCTCCCTCCCCCTCTCTCTGAAAATAAATAAAATCTTAAAAACACAAAAAAGCTGCATTAACATTTACTTTTACACACAGAGCCTAGACCTCACACCATGTGCTGGTTACTTAGGATGAGACAGGACCCTGTTCGCTGCCCAAAGGAAAGAGAAACACAAAGTATAGCAGGTGACATTATAATCTCCTAAGTCTTTTACCTAAAGACATGATTTCTGGAATGTGCTCTAAAATACTGTCCAAAAAAACCAGAGGGTAGAAACCAGGTAGACGAAATGTCAAATATTATTCTCTCTACTTTCATACATATTTGAAATATTCCATTAAGAAATCCTAAGATGTCATGGAGGCAGGAGAATGTAGAGAAAGAAGCAGTTTCTTCCACCGTGGAGAAAAGACGGGTCAGAGGACTACTACACTGGAGGTGCAGCGCTCGTCATTAAACATCAATGCGGGACATTATCACACGATGTAAACGTCGTGACGTCATTAAATACCAGTCCCCGGACCACCCCCGAGGGGCGTGACGTCAGACAACTACTCATCGCTGGACGCTGTGTTTGTTACTCGCAGGCACTAGGCTAAGCAGTCTGCACACTTCCTCTCCGATCCAGAGTTTTCCAAGGTGATGTCTGCGAACCACTCCCATCGAGATCTCCTAGGATACCCTCTCTTTACTTTTTAATTTTTAAAAATTGAGCTGAGATCCCTTTTAACAGTATCTGTTCCCTCCCCTCCCCTCAGACTCTGCGCCAGCTCCGAGTCAGCTCTGCATTTCCCGTTATCCAGGTCACTCCTCCTTCCCTGGGGACGGCTCTCCAACGCAGCAGTTAACTCCTCTTACGGAGAAACAAGATCCACAAGGGCCAGCAGTGTCCCCTGACCGCCCGCCTAGAACGCAGCGGTGCGGAAATCGAACACGTCACCGGTCTCCAAAGGCTGCTGCTCCGTTCATGCCAGCCCTCCTTTCCCAGCCCGTAAAGGGAAAGCAGAACCCCCCAAATCTCTAAGTGTTTATACCCAAGAAAGGAGACAGCTTTCACCCTGGCCAGGTAGCTCAGGTGGTTAGAGCGTTACCCCAATGCACAAAGGCTGCCAGTTCGATCCCTGGTCAGGGCACATACAAGAAGCAACCAGTGAATCCATAGGTAAGTGGGAAAACAAATCAATGTTTCTCTCCCCCTCAAATCAATTTTTAAAAAGGGGGTGGAGGGACTGTTTGGGTCCTCCTTTGGAGAGTGAGGAGGTGGCTGCACATCTCACCTGCTCGTGATCCAGCATGGTCAGTCCTTTCACTCCTGCCAGGATGAGATTCTTGGCGATTTCCGCCCCGAGGCCTTTCATGCCGACGAGAAGCACCCTCGAGGCCCGCAGCCTGCAAGGCAGACACTGTTAGCGGCACGACAGGAAGCCGTGGGAACGGGCCGAGTCATCATGGAACAAAACCAAAGGGCCGCATCTTTCATTTTCATTGATTAGCTGCATGGAAGCACACAGCCTCCAAACCAGGAAAGAGACGCTCACACCCGTCCTACGGAGCACAAGTCATTCAGCAAATATTTGCAGAGCACCCACGCCAGGCACCTCTCCCAGGCGTGGAAATGAGGCAAATGTGATCCCTGCCCTTCCATAACTTAAATGTCATGAAGGAAGCAGATGCATAGTCCTTTGTATGGAAAATAACACAATAATTAATAAAAAATGCAAGAATAAACTACGTTTCGCATACTGCCAACTGTAAATCTACTTTTGTCCCACCTTGTACATTATGTCAAAAAGTCATGAAAATCGAGCGGCACACGGGTCCAGACTAACAGAAGATGCTACTCCCGTCAGACTCATCGTGGAGGCCAAGCACAAATCAAAATGAAACAAGAATGGATACACTGATACTGGGGAGAAGAGCATTCCAGGCAGAGAAAACGCAAGTGCAAAAGCCCCGGGGAAGGAGCGCCTGGTGTGTTTGGGGGCCAGGCAGAAGAGCGGCGAGCAAAGGGAAGACTGGTAGGCAACGAGGGAGCGGCCAGAACCAGGGGCTGCATCGAGGAAGCTCTCCCAGGTGCTGGAAGGGTTCAGGGTTTTATTCGAAGCTTGGAGAAAAGCCACGGGGGAGAGGGGCCTGGAGGGGAAGAGTGTCGCAGTTCAGGCGAGAGGACGATGGCTTGGACCAGCATGACAGCGTGAGAAGAGGCGGGAAGGGGCCCTGTGGGCCACAACGCACAAGCAAAACCACGGCAGTGGGAAGGAGGGTGCAGCGAGGAAACATCGGGTTGTTCTAGCTATAACTAGGACGTCGCACAAGATCGGGCTAATGGAAGGCAGTCAGAGGCTGGGCTCTCTGTCCCACGCAGTGTGGACCTAGCTCTGAGGTCAGAGCTACACAGAGGCAGTGTGTGGGTTCACAGTGTCTTATCTGAAATCCTTTGGGGTTCGGGGGGGAAGATAGACAAAATTCCCGTATATAACGGCACAAGTTCCTTTTGATGAGAGGAAAACAAAGAAACCCCTTGAAGCAGAAGTGTTTCAGATTCTGAATTTTTCAGATTTGAAAGAGGAATACAGGATGGTGTCACACAGGCTCATGTCACAGGGAGATCACTTTGGGAAGTATGGATGCCCTAGTCCCTGTTATGCACCCGAGGCTAAGGCAATCTGGCAGGTCAACTGTAAGTGAAAAGTAAATTCTGCCCTGGCCGGGTAGCACAGTCGGTTACAGTGTCGTCCCGATACACCAAGGTCGTGGGTTCAATCCCTGGTCAGGGCACACACAGAAAGTAACCAATGAAGGCACCAATGAGTGGAACAACAAATCAATGTTTCTCTCTCTCAAATCAATAAATAAGAAAAATGGATTTTACAAAATACAAAATAAAATAATAAAGTGCTTGAGAATGCAGACGGCTGCAGCCACTGGGGAAAACAGTGTGGAGATAGATAAAAAAAAATAAAAAACGGAACTGTCTCTTCATCTAGAGATGCCACTTCCAGGATCATATTCAAAGAAACCCAAAACGCTAGTTTGAAAGAACGTAAGCGCCCCTCTGTTCACTGCAGCGTTACTTCTGTCGCCAAAGTAGGAAAGCAGCCCAGGCATCGGTGGAGGAGTGGGTACAACAGCTACGAGACATTCACACAATGGAATACTGCTCAGTCTGAAAAAAAGAAGAAAATCTTACCCTTTGCAACAGCACGGATGAACCTGGAGAACATTACGCTCAGTGAAATAAGCCAGTCACAGAAAGACGAGTACTGTCTAATCTCACTGATGTGTGGAATCTGATGAACAAACTGAACAAGCAAAAGAGAGACGCACAGAGGATGACAGCACGTATGAGGGGCGGGATCGGGGGGCGGAGGGAATGAGCGAAAAGGAAAAAGGACTCATTGCCACGGACGAGAGCGTGGTGATGGGGCGGGGGATATAAGGGGACCGGATGCTAATAGGAAAAAATGTCATAAAAGAGACAGTTAAAAAAGTAAAAAAAAAACAAAGTCCATGTTCACTGCCACTAAATTAAAATGAAATAAAACAGTTTATATCATATATTATGAAACAACCCCATCAGTATCTTAAACTCATTAATATTTCTGCAGCAAGTGGACGATTATTCACACTGAAAAGGATCACTCAGAACTAAGAACAGTCCCACATAAATTCAAGTTCTGCTGGCCAATGAGTCTGCTCTTAATTTATGCAATGAGTACAAGTACTGGGGAGAACACGCAGAAATGCTTCTCCAAAACCGGTTCGAACAGCCCTGACCAGGGTGGCTCAGTTCGCTGGGCGTCATCCCACACAGTTGAGTGGGCACCGGGCAGGGCACCTGCCTGGGTTGCAGGTTCGGTCCCCAGACGGGGAGCAAACCGGTCAATGTCTCTCTCTCTCTCTCGCATCGCCTTTTCTCTCCCCTCTCTAAAAATAAACTTTTTTTTTTTTTAAGAAAATGGTTCTAATCGTGATGGACATGGCACATCATTAGGCTGGAAGAGTTTGATGAGAACGGTGGCCAAGCCCTGTGCTGATTCTTGCCGACAGCAGATTTGGGATGTCCTTCACGGATCCAATCGAGGAAAATATGCAGGGAGAGGGAGAATACGGACAGTATTGCCCTCAAAGGCGTATGTCTGGGCCTCGGCTTCTCCATTATTGCTTTTATTCCTCCACGGCCAGCCACAGGCTAGCGGGCACGGCCTCTCGAGTGACAATTCCACTTCGCTGGAGCAGGAGGAGGTTGAGATGAGGGCTTACAAGATACAAGCAAGGTAAACACAGGTGCCAGGAATGACAGGTCCCTTGTCTGAGATATACAGCATCCTAGGGATGGGCGGGGGAGGAAGGAGAACCATGCAGCTTTCCCGAGGAGCTCTAATGCCTCCAGAATCAGCAAATATAACAAGCTACGTTTCCTAAAAGAATGCAGTGCCCATATCGGACCCCGACACCAGAAAGGCTGAGTGCGCTTGCGTTGAGCTGTACCTTCTCCAAGTCTCTGCCATCACCGCAAGTCTGCGAGCCCTTCCTGCACCGGGCCCTCTCGCTGCTGCACCTGGAACCCCAGGTCCCGTGCTCCCTTTCGGTCTGAGTGACTGTGTTTTCTGCTGTCTGGCTGATCCAAAGATACAGCTAGAATAGCCCAGTTAGTTCTCTTCGGGGAATCTGTACCTTCAAATGTTACCGATGGCCTCCTGATCTCCAAGCCCACTAACTTCTCAGGCTCCCTTTTCCTCAACAGTCTTTCAGCGACAGGCAGTGCCTACCATGCGCGCCCTCCAGGTCGGAATGCCTGGGTTTGAATTCGGGCTCTGCCACTCCCTACCTGGGTGACCTAGAGAGGCTGTACCACCTCTCTGACACCTCAGTTTACTCACCCATAAAATGGGGATACCAATTCTGACTGCACATTCTTTAGTCTCCTCCACAACCTGGTCAAATGTGTATGCAAAGCCATAATCTCTGGTGCAATCTCTGACGGATAACAGAAACTTAAGTATATGTTACTTGAATGTATTGAACTTCTCCCCAATCCCTACTGTCTTATCTATAAAAGGCTCAGTAAACGGTTCACTTTGATTTTCAATAAAACCTGTCTAAAAAAACCCCCTAAAGCTGGCACTTAAAGCCACCCAGTACTGACCCCCTCCTACTCCCCAGCCTTACTTCGCGCATGCCCAAGCAGGAAGTCAGCTTCCACCTGCACACTTCAAACCACAGCGTGCCCTGCAACCTGCGGAGTGCTCCACACGCTGAATGCTTGCAGGTGTCTCATTCAAGTGCATCCCCACCCTCAAGGTGCTGTTGTTAATCTTGAACTGAGACAGGGGCCCTGAGACTACAGCTGACTTAGGGCTCAATTACATGAAAAGCACTTAAAATAGTACCTGGCCCACTTCTGGCTGGTGTGGCTCAATTGGTTGGACCTGGGAATAAGTTACCCTAAGTGACAAAAGGAATTGAGATGACATGATTAAATTAAGGGCTCCACCTGGCTGGTGTAGCTCAGTGGATTGAGCATGGGCCTGCAAGCCAAAGGATTGTGGTTGGGTTGCAGGCCAGTTCCCAGCAGGGGACACACGAGAGGCAACCATGCATTGATACTTCTCTCCCTCTCTCCTTCCCTTCCCCTCTAAAGATAAATAAAGTCTAAAACAAACAAACAAACCCTCACCCCACCCCCAAACAAATAAATTAAGGGTTCTGCAATGGGGAGATTATCCTGGCTTACTGGAGTGGGTCCTAGTAAACATAGGGGATAGAGAGGTGGAAGAGGTCAGAGAAGAGGTGATGATAAGATCAGGGGTCAGCCCTGGCTGGCATAGCTCAGTGGATTGAGCGCGGGCCTGGGAACCACACGATTTCAGTTCGATTCCCAGTCAGGGCACATGCCTGAGTCGCTGGCCAGTTCCCAGCAGAGGACTCACAAGAGGCAACCATGCATAGATGTTTCTCTCCTTCTCTCCTTCCCTTCCTCTCTAAAGATAAATAAATAATAAAAGTCTTTTTAAAAAAATAGCAGGGGTCAGAGTCAGAGAACAGAGATTTAAAGTGGCTAGGCTGCTGGCTTTGCAGGTGAAGGAAGGGGCCACGAGACAAGGAATGCAGGTGACTCCTAGACACGAGAGAAGTCACAGAGACTCCTCCCTAGAGCCTGCACAGGGAACACGGCCCTGTACACGCCTTGACTTCAGCCCACTAAAACTGATTTGAGTTCTGGCCTCTAGAACTGTAAGGGAATTTGTGTTAAGCCACTAAATTCGTTATGGCAAAAACAGAAATGGAATACAGTGAGGCACAGTTAAGAAACTTGCTAAAGACCACGCAGTTCCCAAAGGGCAAAGCAGATACCAACTCGGGCAATATGTGCTTTTCAGCCCTGG